AGGTAACATGTATGAGCACTCAGAGGATCGGGGAGGGAAGGAGAGGGATGCACGGATCGGATTAGACATAGGCAATGCTCTGTTTCCCTTTCAGTTTGTCTCTCCTCAGAACCCTCCCGCTGATGCTCCCTCCTCCTCTTCCCTACTACGTAAGGTCCTCTCTTCCAGTAAACGGCCCAGAATCGAAGGTCTGACCTTTCAAGCAAGTATTGTTGAAGAACAGCAGGCGGGTGGGGGAGACGGGGAAGTTATCGTTCGTAGTTCCCCAAGGAAAAGAGGCAGGTCGCAAACATCGAAAACAACTCGGAAATCCTTAGCCCTAGCAAACTCAATGAAGACTCTTTTTCCAGGGCAGATAAAGCAAAAAGGCGAATCTCGGAGTTCTTGATCCCCATCATCTACACTCATGATGGGCAGAGCTCTAGGTTTCTCACCTTGAAAGAAAACGATGAGTCCCTCCACCTGCCATCTATTCCACTCAGAAGTCACCCCATTCCATTAATGGTGCGAAATTTGGTTAAGCAACATGTCTTGTAGAACCTGGGTGAGGTGGATCTTTTTCCTGATCCCAAGATGTCACGACACTTGGCAGACACCCAAGATGGTGGAAAAGTCTGTCTCCTGTTCGCTTTCCTTGATTTAACGTACGTTTCAGATTGCAAAACCAAATGGGATGAATGTCGGATCTTTTGGATGGAAATGGTGGTTCTTGCCTCAGGACAGTCGTCCTCTCTATAGGATATAAAATGACTGTGAACCTCACGACCCAAACACTATCTGACTGACTAGTCATGTTAGATAATAAGGACCTGGTCCTGGCAGACGCCTTCATCAACACTCTTATTTAGAGGAGGGCAGGGAAGTGTTGGAACTTCACGGTTGGGGAAAAAGCCCTTGCCCTTATCCCTCATTCTGCGGTTTCTACAGACATAGATGGAGCCCTACAAAGCCGTATCCAAACCACGAACGGCCACATCACCAAGGATGGTTCTTCCGAATAGAATCAGACTTGGCACTTGGAATATTCATGGTCTTGGAGATCATAACCAAAGGTTTAAAAAATGCAGACTATCGGCCTGGTTCCACTCCCAGCAGGTTCACATGGTATGCCTGCAAGAAACAAAGATTAGCGCAGACAACATGGGGGAGATTGATCATTGGTGGACAACGCCCCAAATTTGGTCCCCGACAGTAGGTACCAAAGGGGGAGTGACCATCCTAATAGATAGTTGTCTGGATGTGGAGGTCATTAACAGTTGCACCGATTCAAAAGGAAGGTGGGCATGGATGAAACTCGCAGTGGCAGATGAGGATTGGGCAGTGATATCCCTCTATGCACCAGTTGACCATCCCGCTAGACTTTTTTTTTTTTCATACCTTCCCGAAATTAACCCAGACACAGAGAATTTGATATTAACGAGGGACTGAAATCGTATTTTAAATCCAAGGTTGGATACTTCCTCCCCTACACAAATTAGGAATTATGATGCGCTCCTACTATCCTCATTTATGGAATCACAAGCCCTAGTTGATGTTTATAGGGGCATGAACCCGAACTCCTTTGGCTTCACTTGGTTCGGCCCCCGCCCTTCCAAGAAGGCCCCCCAACCAATGCGGCGATTGGACTATATTTTAGCCCATGGTGATATTTGGGAACGTTGTATGTGGTCAGACCTCAAGGCTTCCTCCATTTCAAATCATCATCCGATCTTAATGGATATAATATCCAAAGAAGTGGTGACTGGACACAACCCCCCCCTTAGACTTAACATTAAAATATTGAGTGACTCAAGGATCCCACAATTATGAAAACTGGGCTGATACGGGGATTGGTATCCTCCGTGCAGCCATGATAGAGTTCTCCAGAATGAAAGCGGTCTCAAGGAACTGGAAAGAAAAGCAATTTATAAGTATCGTTGAACAGGCCGAAGCGATGATGGGTACTGACCATTTTTTAGAATATTATTGGTTAAAAAACGAAGACCCTAGCTGAACCGGAAGAGGTGGAAATCTGTAAACAAACTGATTGGCTGGAGCGATTGAAAATCAGGGGGATATTGGGATTTGATCGCATGACAAAGGAAACCTTCAAAGCTCTCATATTAAATAAGGCAAAGCCACTGATGAGAGAGCTTACACACCCATTTGCTATAGCCAACCCGTTGGCCACAGGTATTGAGGACTTGTGTGCTTATGCTATGGAATACCAAGGATATTGTGACAACTAGAAGGCCTTTCGATAGTTTTGATTTTATTCTAGCGGACCATCATACCTTTTGGGCCACATCTTTAAGATGCATTCCTTCTCAGATAAGTCGGGATCTACACCAGCCCATAACTCTGGAGGAAGTTTCCAAAGCAGCTCGCCAGATGGCCAAAGTCAAGTGCCCTGGCCCAGATGGCCTACCCATATAATTTTTTCTTTCCGCGTGGGATGCCTTTGGACAAATTTTCTGTGACATCTATAACACCTCCCTAGGGACGGGCAAACTTCCTAAGGCGCTTGTTCAAGGAATGATCTCCCTGTTATATAAGAAAGGGGATAAAAGAGAAATCCGAAATTGGCGCCCTAAACACTGGCTATGCGAGTAGCTAATATCCTCCCCACCTTGGTAGGAGAAGAGCAAGGAGCATTTGTGAAAGTGCGCTCAATATTTGATAACATCTTGGCAACAGCCCAAGCCTTAGAAATAGTTAGTGTGGAGAAACATAATACAACCATCCTCATGCTCGATATGGAGAAATCTTACAACAAGGTGGGATGGGCCTTTGTCAACACTACCCTCCTAAACATGGGATTGGGTTGTTCCTTCAGAACTTGGGTTAAGGCAATGTATGCCAATTCTGCAAAAATTCTTGTAAATGGGAAACAATCTGACGAATCCCCCCTGACCAGATCCCTACAGCAAGGGTGCCCCCTGGCCCTGCTTATTTTTGTGCTTCAGTTAGAGACATTGTTGGATAATATTTGATTCAATCCCCGCATTGAAGATCTCCGCTTGAACTCCTCCTTTCACTGGAAAGGGGGAGCAATAGTTGATTACCTTACACTGGCCTGCAAGAACTCTCAAGTTAATATGATTGAGTTACGCAACATTTTAGAGGAATATTGTGATCTTTCGGAAGCCTCAATTAATTGGGACGAATCAGTTTTCTTCTTGCCCCCCCCTCATGAGATCTGTGTCGACTGGGGCCTTCGGCAAGTCCCCTATAACGCCTCTGACCATTGTTTGGAGGCCAAGTGTCACTTGCAGACTGTTCCAAAGTGCAGGATGATATTCTTGTCGACAAGATGACCTCAAGGATCGCAGGTTGGGAACGAAGAAAGCATCCATCGCTATTCGGGAGAACCCTCGTGATTTCGACTTCTGCCTTCTCTTTACTATGGTACCCGTTGTCGATCCATATGCTGGGGGGGAAGGCTTACAGGAAGATTCGTAATGCTGCAGCAAGATACCTTTGGAAGCCTGATGCTTCAGCAGACTAGGGCTTCCTTTTGAAGGTGGCTTGGGAGGTGGTGGCTAGGGGACGAAGAGATGGGGGGTTGGGTATTTTAGACCCACTACAACAGAACTTGGCCCTGTTGGCCAAATGCTCGGTGCTAGGCATGATGGAGGAAGGCACGAAGATATGGATGCATATGGCACAATACATCCTGGGAAAGGAGTGGGAACTGCATGACCACACGAAAGTCTGGCAATGCATGCTCCTACCCTCCTTCAGCAACAGGCGGCCAAAATTGAAACTCTCGAAGGGTATTCTAAAAGCATGGCATAAACTAAGACCCAACAAGATCCTTGCTCCGACTACGAAACAGGAAGTTCTGAACCAGCTGCTTTCGAAAATCCTCACTTGGTTTAGCATGATGGTACCCCTTTCTCGGCTGAAGAGGCGGCGGGATGCTTTGGGGGATCCTGGATTAAGAAAGGGGTGATGCAAATAAGAGATATATGGGACCCCACAGCATCCTCCTTTCAGGGAGAGACGACCATCAGACTAAACCTGCCATGACTTCATAAGGTAGGAGCCCACCTGAGAGACCTCATAGCCTCAATTCCAAGAACGTGGATTCAGCTGTTAAATGTTAAACCACCAGTACTTGGCCCAACTATCGGTCGCGGCGCTTCCCCGTTAATGCGCCGCGCCTTTAAGGGGTACTGGACCACAATGGCTGGAAGCGCCAGCCAAAGATAAAACAAAACGATACCCCGGCGCTTCTGCAAAAATCGGCGCGCAGGGGCATTCCAGGCTCGGCATCGATAGCTGGGCCAAGTACTGGTGGTTTAACTCAGAAAACGTGCAAGGCACCTGGCTACGTGCTGAAGACAATCCAAGCAGAATTTATCATGTTATAGGCCCAGCCTTATCTTCAGGTATGTTGGTAGAGACCTGGCGCCTCCCCGCAGGGCATAGGCGGGAAGGAATGTTAAAATTGGAAGATGGCGAACAGCGGGTTCAGGACAACAGACATGTTCAAGATGTTCGGGTCTTTACTCAGCGGGATGGGCGAGGCAAATTAACTGCAACCTTGGGAAGAGACGCGTCCCTCTACAAGGTGGAACCTTTCCTGTTGGGTTGGACTGAAGGTACTAACTCTCAGTTGGAGTCAGTGCGTTACACACCCCTCCAACAGTACCGCCCCAAGGTGGGGGTCGGTCTCCAACAAGCCCACCTAGGACAATCCCCTCTTTCCTTGGCCCTGAAGAGAGCAGAAACACACCGTGACCAACTTCAAGGAATCTCGGCCATCAGACTACGCAGTTTTTGGAAAGGTCCTACCAGAATGCCGGTCCAGAAACACGCAGGCATCATGTGGCTCCAATCCTTGATGATTACAGCCACATCAGTTTGGCCAGCTGTTAAGGGTATGGAAGTTTCCACGGTATGCCTACGGTGCAACTGGGGCTTGGAAAATATGGTCCATCTACGGGTCTGCTGCCCGTTAGTGGATGGACTCTCCATGTGATGGAAAGAACACTGAGAACGATTGGCGGGTGCTTCTTTGGAATGGTCGGATCCATGGATACTCATGGGGCTTCTCCCACAAGGTTTTAACTAACCTTCAGGCCTAGGCTATATAGCCGGAGTCTGCAGAGGAGTACTTATGGATACGATTTGGGCGGCTAGGAATGCCAGAGTTTTTAGAGGAGAGGATAGACCACTTTGCCAACAAAAACAGCAGATTAAAAGTACAATTAGAATGATTATCAAAGCTGATTGGCAGAGGAGAAGCCTCCCTTGGTTTCACATGACCTGGGCTTGCGGCAACAGACTGGCAGAGATCAATCAGGAAGGCAGACTGACAATATGTACCTGGCTCTCTGATTCCCATGATTGAGGTACTCAATAAGGGGAGGAAGTGGGCAATTGGCCTGTAGCACAGCGGTGTCAGGATCCAAAGAGGCCGCTTTAGGCCGCTGGTATGGGTTGTATTTGGTTCTCCATTTTCATGAGAACCTATGAGGTTTACCATGTTTTTTACTGCGCTTCAAGGCTTTTTGGAAAGTAGACGCTGAACCCGGTTTTCAGCAGAGCCTAAACTGGGTAACGGCCCCAGGTTAACTCCGGGTTGAAATGTGAGGTTCCCAGCCTCTCTCAAGGTTTTTGAGTAATACAATTGTGCAACTTTCCCAAAAAAAAAAAAACAAAAAAAAAAAGGAGCCTCTCCAACCAACTGGCCTAGCTCAGTTGGTATACATCTGAACTGTTGAAATCCACACCCAAGTTCGAACTCCACTGCAAGCAGATGAGTGAAATACCGCAATTCTGATTTACCTACTGGCCGGTCAGTTCGACGATGATATCTCAAGGCACAGAGCCTCAGGACACAGAACGGTGAATTTGGGGCAAGAAAAGAGCAGCCAGGGACATGGTCCCGCTCCTTGATGAGGAAGATCGACCGCCACTGTGTCTTAATCCGTGCAAATGGGACCTCAACCCCAGGGAACCCTTCCCTTTTCTTTCTCTTACGGTCCCATCACGGAGCAGTTGGGTCGCTCCTCCCTCCTCCTCCTTCCCTTGCACCAGCCAGGCCATTCGGCTGACCTGAATGGTCGACACACGTAACCTTAACACAGATGGAAAGGTCGAATCCTTTTTTTTTTTCCCCCTTGATATCGAACGGGAACAATGACTTCAATGATATTAAAAGCTAATAATTTGGAAAAAAAAAACAGAAAAAAGAACGGAAAAGGAAAAGGTGGAAAACAAGGAACAACACAAAGGTGCGCACACACACACGCACATACAGACCCTTGGCAGCCAAACGTTCCAAAAGCCTGGCATATACCCTGTCGCCTGTACTCGGGCGGGGTTTGTCATGCGCACATTACCTGGCGGGGATCTACATGTCGTCGACATGGGTCGCAACTCATGGTTTCTCTCTCTTTTAAAAAAAAAAAGAAACTCGTGGTTTCTTGCGGCACGGTTATTGGATCACGAATCATTTCATTATCTGTCATTAATTATTGAGACCACGAGACAGCTGTCCAGGGAAAGGCGAATCGCCTCCTCCCCCACAACGCCACAGAGCCAGCGACGAAGGGCGACATTCCACTTAGTACCTGGATTCCCCGCCTCAGCGAAAGTCGTCGATAAGCAGGACTCCTCTGTTAGGAGGAAGGTTGCCAGTGTAGTGTCCGGAGCAGTAGCGCAGCTGCGAGTAGTACTGCGACGGGTGGTAGTAGTAGTAGTAGTAGTAGTAGGAGGAGGAGGAGGAGGAGGAGGAGGAGGAAGTCCAAATCCCGAAGTAGCACATAGTAGTAGTAGTAGTAATAGTAGTAGTAGTAGTAGTACGAGAGGAGGAGGAGGAGGAGGAGGAGGAGGAGGAAGTCCAAATCCCGAAGTAGTACATGTCCGCTCGTTCGCAGAACGTGCAAAAAAGTGCCAAATGTCACTCAACCGAGAAGGGGCCGATCAGTATCAGAATCAGATTCAGTTTAAATTCAGTGCGACTGGTTCTCGCAGACGGTGCGAAAAAGATTGAGACGAAAAGAAAAGAGAAAAAACAAATCACGCAGACGTTGAATCGAAACTGGAGATGGAGAACTGAGTAAGAAGAAGCGACGAGGAGGAGGAGTAGGAGGAGGAGGAGCAGCCGATTGAAAGAAGGAGGGGGAGGAGGTGGAGGAGGAGGAGGAGGAAGACGCATTCTCAACAGAACGTACACGAGTCATAGAAGTCCCCCGCCCGATAATGGCGACTTATGATACTAATTCGACCACGTGCGATCAACCCAGACCCGCATTGAAGGACTCCAACCAAACACGGAATTTTTATTTTTATTTTTTTGGGAAAAGCAAGGAGTCCATTATCATGATATAAACCATGAGGCCGGGAATCATCACAAACAACCCGGAAAAAAAAAACAGTTCAGTCTGGGACCATTACCCAGTCGCGGTTCGTGGGATTACCCCAACAACACTTGGCAGAGCCAACCAATATGCAGTATTACCAACTAACTAGCTACACCCAAGGGCCAATTTACCTGTAGGATAGGTTAGATTCCCTGTTGTTGTTTTTACCCCGGAGAGGTAGACCAATCCAGAGGTTATTTTGTAGTAGGGATGGCAAACACAGAAATTTGTCACTACGGCCTGGAAACGAGAAATTCAATGAACAAGGAGGATACAGAAGAGACAGAGGAAGATGGAGCAGGAGGAGAAGGGTGAGGTGGAGGTCACCCGAGAGGACACGTGTGAGAACAAATCAACTCCCGTCCATTCGGGCAATCGAACGGATGCCGTTTCCAGTTGTTACTGCTATGCCATGATGTATACACCGAGATAACTTGTTTTGACTTTCGTATTGACTGTGTCTCTTGTGGACTCGAGTAAGGCTTTACTACTCCATGAGTGAGTGTATGCTGCTCTGTAATTGATTCGATCTACTCGATCGAACGGATGCAGGAATGAAGCAGTTCTTTATCCTTTTTTTTTTTTTTTTTCTGTTTTGAGGTTAAGTGTCCTTCCATAGCCTAGAAAAATGATTAGGGACGAGACAATCGTTAACTGGAGCGATAAGATACACCCTCCTTCTCTTCACAAATAATGTGGACATCAAATTCAACCGCCAGTCATTTAAAAGAGCATTCCAAACGATCATGTCCAGAACTTAGATCCGCAGAAGCATGATTTGTCCTCAAAGAAAAATGATAAAATTATGTTCCATCATTTAACCAATCATGTGTGTAATCAAGCGAAAAAAAAAAAAAAAAAAAAAAAAAAAAAAAAAAAAAAAAAAGGGGTATCTTCGAGCAATTGGTGGTCCTTCATAAATGCAAATGGCAACATGATTAGGACTTCACATGGGCAAGTTATTACCTTGTAAATGAAAAATGAAGGTGGTGAGACTCAAAGGACTCTGTTCATACGTTGCAAATCGATGGTGCTGAGATATTAAAGATCGTTGTTTTTTTTTTCTTTTTTTCCCGTTCAGTATAAATTCCACACACTGGCATTTCACTTGTGAAAGTACGTCTTCTGATTTCTGGCAGTGGAACTGTTGGTGCTGAGATAAAAAAAAACGTTTATTTTGCTTTGCATATATTGCACACACTGGCATTTCCACTCGGGAAAGTAAGTCTTCTGATTTCTGGCAGTGAAATTCAAGTTCTACGACTGTCATATCGTTGATAGAGTTTTCAGTTTTTCACAAGGAATACTTGCCCCTCCAAAGTTTTTTCTCCTCGTTGAGAGTTCGTTCCGTGCTTAAATCAAAAAACATATGGCTAGGCAGAACGCCTAGGTTTATGCTCCGGAGGTTCTCACCTGCCTGCGTCTCTTTCAGGATTTGTGAGTGCGTTGTGTGTGTGTGCAAGCGCTAGCGCACGTGTGTGTGTGTGTGTGTGTGTGTGTGTGTGTGTGTGTGTGTGCGTGCGTGCGTGCGTGTGTGTGCGTGTGTGGGTGTGTGTGCGAGTGCGCGCGCACGCGCTCACGTGCCTTCGCACTACCTCACTTGAAACAATCACAGATTAAAAAGTAATAAAAACTAAAAAATTGGGGGCCCTTACACTGAGGGGTTGGGGGGAGAGAGAGAGAGAGAGAGAGAG